CCCGCTGATTAAGCCCCCAAGCACATTCCCTAGGCCTCCGCCCAGGCCCCCGCCTCCCCCGCCGCCGCCGCCGCCGCCGCCTTTCAAGAACGAGTTAACCAGGAACATGGCTGCGACTGCGACTCCTAGGGGGGAAGAAGGGGTCCGATGACTACTTCGCCCCAAGCCCGCCCTCCTTCCCAAAAGTACGCGTTTCCGGCATCTGGACGTAGGGAGGAATCTGAGACCTGTGGGTGGGGGCCAGTCCTCGGGCTGGGTGTCTGGGCATCTGACAGAGGGTAGTCCTCGGAGGGGTGGGATAGGAACTGAGATCAGCTTTGAGGGAGCCTGGATTGGGTGCACGCACAGGCGTCTTTAAGGTCAAGGTGCAGGGCTGGTAGGGTTCTGCAGATGGGGGGGGAGGGCAAACTCGTGTAAGGCATGCCCGACGTGCCCGGGAGAACGAATTCGAGATCCTCCAGAGCCACAAAACTGAAAGTTGGAGTCCTCCCCTAGGAGGTGATCCGAGGTGCGGATCAAAGATCTTTGCCTGAAGGCCTCTTGGGCGGGGTTTAGGAAATCCTGAATGTGAACCTTTAGGTACTCCCAGCGGCGGGATTGCTGTGTTAACGCTGGGTCTGTGGGCTGTGGTCAGAATCGTGGCTGTGGGCCCCAGGGTCAGGATAACGGGGGTCCTCATTAGAATTGGGAGCACGGATCTGGGATCGTGGTTCCAGGCAATCCAAGGGATAATTTACAAGTTACCTCTCAATTTTACGGGCTTGTATTCGCGATCATGAGCTGAGAGGATGGGGAGATCCCTGGGTCAGGATTACAGGGATCAGACAGGTCTAGGGGTTCGAATCTGAGGTCATGGTCTCAGGAACCTCTGAGGCCGCGACTTTGGGGTTTTGCCGAGTCTGGGGGACGTCAAGGCGGAGATTACCGGAGTCCGGGTCGGGAGCTCACCACTTCACTTACAGGTCCGGGGGTCCGGCTGTCGGTTTGTCTACGGCTCCTGGGCCTCCCGCTGCGTCCGGCTCCGGAGGGCGGGGTCCGTGACTCAGGCGGCAGCTCTCGGTCACCGTCCGCTGGGTCCTAGAGCCGGCCGTGAGAACTGCGCCTGCGCGCTCCGGCCCCGCCCTACGTAGCGGAGTGCGGGCTCGGTGTCTCTACCTTGTTCCAACGCTGGAGGTTCTAACCCTGCCCTGACTTAATTGGTGTGAGGGCTTCCCAACTGCTTTGTAGCGTGATTGAAGGCGCCTGAGCACTAGAGTTCCGAGGTGACCCCCATTCCAGCTTTGTAATGTGACTTTTCATCCCGAGGCCCGCCAGTTACTGGACATGTTTGTGGCTTAGGGCCACTCAAAGAGACTCAGTACGAGACCTCTCTCCTGGCCTGCATCTGGAGGCCCTCAATTTGTTTAGCTCACAAACCGAGTCAAAGCCCCCTGTGCCTTCACCTCTGCACCCCACACCACCTCTCCACACCATGCTCAGTCATGGGTCACCGGACTCTGTCTTTCCTGCACGGACTCAAAGCGTCATCTCAGTTGGGCCTGTGACTTGAGCTCTCCCAGCAGTGATTTCCTGGTCTGTAAAATGGGAAGACAGGGGTTGCCCCTCCCCACTAGGCCCCTATGTAAATTAAATGATAAATACTTAGTAAATGGCCCATATTAACCTCTGTGTTGGGACCAGCAGATGACCTAATGATTACGTCTCTGGACTCCCATGTAGTCCACTGCCTGTTACAGTCCTGGACCCAGCAGCTTAAAATTCACACCAGGCACATGTGTGTGGGGGTGCCCAAGATTCTGGGAGAATAGAGGAGAAGGGATTGCAGTGTGGTCATTCCCCCGGTTGATTTCTCGCTTTCTGTCTCTCTGTCTCTCTAGCAAGCGCACATTCCCTATAGCAAAAATCCCTCTTAACAAAAACCTTGGGACCAACAAATGGCATAGTCGTTTTTTCACTGGATTCCTACATAGTTCACCGTGGTTTGCGTCCCAGACCCGGCAGCTTAAAACTCCCGCAGGCAGGACCAGCAGTTAGCTTAATGGCTATGTCGCTGAACTCCCATGTAGCCTATCGCGGTTTGAGTCCCGGACCTGGTGGCTTAAACTCATGCCGGGCGCGTGTGTGTGCGTGCCAAAGATCCCAAGAGGAGAATGGAGGAGAAGGGATTGCAGCGTGGCCATCTCCCCTGGGGCGTGATTTCTCGCTTTCTGTCTCTCTGTCTCTCTCTGTCTTTCTGGTGAGCGTCGCGCCCTATAGCAAAAACCTCTCCGGAAAAACAAAACAAAACAAAACTCACGAAGGCGAGTGTGGATGCCCGAGATTCCAAGGAGAGTGGAGGAGAAGGGATTTCAGTGTGGCTACCCCCCCACCCCCCTCCCCCCAACCCGTGATTTCTCACTTTCTGTCTCTCTGTCTGTCAAGAGCATAAGCCCTATAGCAAATAGGAAAAAACAAAAAACAAAAAAATTTCTAAAAAAAATAAAAAGACTGGGCAAATAAACCCAAAAACCTCTGTTTGTGCACGCTGTTTTCAGCCTGGAGCTTGCTTGGATTCCTCAGCTAGTCGCATCTTGCTCACACACAGCACTGAACAAGTAACTGTCAAGCCTTTCAACACTTTACACTTATCAGTTCACTCGTCCTATGGGATGGATGCCATTATCCGCACTTTACAGGTAAGGACACTGACTCCCTCGTCTGTACTCTTAACCCCTGCCCTTACACATCGACTCAGTAATGTAATTAGCGATGACGGTACAATACACAAAACCTTCAGTCGCAGCTAATGTTTCCTGAGGTCTTGCTGGGGCCAGGTAGGGGCAGTTACTACATGAGCCTTGTTTATGAGGATCTAACAGGAGAGAAAATAGAGATTCTGAAAGGCAGGTCACAGAGGGTGGCAGGACCAGGTCTCAACCTGGGCTTGGCTGATGACAAATCTTTTGGCCATGACTAATCCGGATTCCCTTGTTGCCACACCCTGCTCTCAGACTGAGCAACTTCAGTTCTCTGTCTTCTCCCCAGGCTTATTTGCTGCCAGGCCTTGCACGGGTCATGCCCTCTGTCTGGAACATTCCTCCTGCCTTTTTCTATTTTACCTGGTTGGATAGCTTCTCAGGCGTTGGGCGTCAGCTCAGGAGTCACCTCTTCTGGGAAGCCCTCCTCATCGCCGCCCATACTTGAGGCTAGGTGAAGCTTCCGGTTACATGTCCTCAAAACGCCTTGCACTTTCTCAAACACTCAGTGCCAGTTATAATCAAATTGTCGTCTAGTTCTGCCTCCCTGACCTTTTAATCCCGAGCAGCCCCACGTCAAGTTTTGTCTTTACCACTTACTCTATCGTGCATCGCCCCTACGTGCCTGGCTTAACTTCCACCTTAAGGTTATCATCGTCCAAACTGATTTGTCTCTGGTAAGGATGTGTGCTCTCACCAGAGAGAGACAAAGGGAGTGGAGAAAGCACTTCCCAATGGGGAAGATCATGCTGCACTCCCTTCTCCCTCTCCCTCTTTCTGAGATTTTTGGCATGCACTCATATGTCCCTAGTATGGTTCTCAAGATGGCTCCGTCATGGAGCTGGCCCAATTTATTTTTTAAAAATTTGCTATGGAGGCGGAGGGCAGCAGATGGCATGCTGGTTAAGGCGGCTGGATTCTCATGTGACCAACCATGGTTTGAGTCCCAGAGCCTGTGGCTTGCAAATCATGCCAGAATGTGCATACGTGAGGAGAATGGACGAGAAGGGATTATGGTATGACCAACCCAGATAGGGGGTGATTTCTGTTTCCTTTTCCCTGTCTGTCTCTTCTCTGGCAAGTGTATGTACCCTATGGCAAAAAACCTTTAAAAAAAAGAAAAACAGTAGAAAAAATTACTGCAGGGCACATACACTCACGTGTGTGTGTGTGTATGTGTGTGTGTGAGAGAGAGAGAGACAACCCCCAGGGGTGTGGCCATGCCACAATCCCTTCTTCTCCATTATCTCAGGAGAAAGCTGGCCTTGTAGTTCATGTTTTCATTTTTTTTAAAATAATTATTTTATTTATTTATTTTTAATTTAACCAGACAGGAACACAGTGAGAGAGAGAGAGAGGAAGTAAGAAAGCAAGCTGCCAGGTCTGGGACTTGAACCATGGTCAGCTACGTAGGAGTCCAGTGCCCTCAACCACCAACGCCACCTACCGGGCCCTCATTTTTGTTATAGAGGTGTTTGCTACAGGGTGCGTGCGCTCGCCAGAAAGACAGAGAGACAGAAAGCGAGAAATCCCCCCCCCCCCGGGGGGGGGATGGCCACACAACAATCCCTTCTCCATTCTCTTGGGATCTTGGGCACGCACGCACATGTACCCAGTGTGAGTTTAAGCCACCGAGTCTGGGACTCAAACCACAGTTGTCTACATGGGAGTCCAACAACATAGCCGTTACACCAACTGCTGGTCCCTTGTTTTTTGTTTGTTTGTTTGTTTTTTTAATAAACTTTTTTTTTTCTGAGAGGTTTTTGTTAAAGGGCACTTGTGCTTGCCAGAAAGACAGACAGACATAGAGATAGAAAGCAAGAAATCACCCCCCAGGGGAGATGGCCACGCCGCAATCCCTTCTCCTCCATTCTCCTCTCAGGATCCTGGGCACGCACGCACACATGCCTGGCGTGAGTTTAAGCCACCAGGTCCAGGACTTGAACCATGGTCAGCTACATGGGAGTCCAGCGACATAGCCATTACACTAACTGCTGGTCCCATAAACTTTTTTTTTTTTGTAATTGCCACAGGGTGCATGCATCATTAGAGACAGAAAGAGAAAAGTACACCCCCCCCCCCCAACAGAGTGTGGTCACACCACAATTCTTTTTCTTTCATTTCTCCAACCCATCAGGATTTAGGGCCTATATGCACATATGCCCAGCATGTTTTTCAAACCCTGGTTAGCCATGTGGGAACCAGCTCCCAGTACACAACACTTAGCTACTATACTACACGGCTGGCCCTGTAGCTCGTGCTTTTAGTTGTCACTATTTGTTGCCTCGAGAACCTTAATGTTACAGTATTACCAATGAATAAACTCATAAATGTCATAACTACCCTAGCTAATGCCACCCAAGGGCTTAATGGAAGCAAGCCGGAGTGATTTTTATAGGCAAGTCTTGCCAAGGCCTCTCATAATTCTCTGCGAAGAACTAACATGACAAGGAGTGAACATTCAGAGAGGTGGAGTCACATGCCAGAGGTCACACAATGGATGACAGAGCCTGAACCCAAACATGGTTGAACCCAAGCATGGTCAATTGTTAGGTAGTAACTAATCCAATACCTGCCCTTGCCCTGTCCTTTCAGCAGGCCTGAGCCACTTCTGTCCATCTCCTCTCTCCAGGTTCCCTTGTTGCCAGGCCCTTGTATGGGCTGTGACCCTGTGGGATCATGCTTCTCACCCTTTTTGGACTCAATCACCTCACCAAGGAAACCTTTCCTGACCTCTCGAGAAAGGTCAGGTCACATGCCAGAATAAGCTGCCCCATGATGTGTTTCCAGAACTCCAGAAACTTTCTCCTCAAAACACTTATAAGAAATTACAATCTGGGACCAGCAGATAGCATAATGGCTATGTCGCTGGACTCCTATGTAGTCGACCGCGGTTCAAGTCCCAGACCCAGTGGCTTAAACTCACACCGGGCACGTGTGCGTGTGTGCCCAAGATCCTGAGAGGAGAATGGAGGAGAAGGGATTGTGGCGTGGCCATCCCCCCTGGGGGGTGATTTCCCACTTTCTGTCTCTCTGTCTTTCTCTGTCTTCCTGGCAAAAAAATCTAATAAAAAAAAAAAAAAAAGAAAACAAAAAAAAAGAAATTACAATCTGTAGTGTTCAATGGTGTCTGTCACTGTCTGGATTGGAGGCCCCTGGATGGGAGCAGGGTAGTCACAGAGACCATTGTATCTCCAGCATCCCCTAGCTCAGGGGAACACACGGTCAATGACTCTCAGATGTTGTTGTGGTCATCATCATCACCCTTTGG